TATGTATGTATGTATGTACGGTTGTACATATATACCACATAAGGGGTAATTCTACGCCCAAAAGGTCAAAAATGACCAACTCAGCCACGAAGCCTTGACGGCTCCCCATCGATCCTCGCGAGCATCGAAGGCCACGAGCATTACGGGCCCAGTGGCCCAGAGTTGCTGATTTCCGGCCCACTCCACTTCGGCTCGGATCTCTGCCGCCTTCGGTGTCTCCGGAGCAGCCTGGCCGAAGCAAAAGCCACCCAAATGCCAAGCACCGTTGGTCTTCAGGGTCATTGATGCCTCCAGCTGTCCCGGAGTCGCTGAGAAAGTCTCGGCCCCAACAAGCGCTGGCAAGGCGAGCATGCTGCAAACACGGTAGAAGGCCATTTCTGGTACGGTTGGTACGGGTCCCTTTGCGACGATCGTCACCTACACTTCGGAGCACAAATGCTTCGAAGACTGATTTGGCCATCACCGCAACCCCGAAACAAGATCAGCCAGGTACATTATCGTATCGTTTTGTGCGATGAGATGTATGTGCATGAGCTGCTGCTTTTCAACGTCTGAATCTAATGAGGCGGCAACTTTCCACAGAACACGACTATCTGCAGGGCTCCTCTTCCAATGATCGTCGCTCTGAGCGCAACTTCTGGGTCCTGGGCAATCCGCGAAGGCTTGTTGAAAACGCACCACAGAACAGGGAACTACTGCAGCAGAAGTAGCAGTTACGTATGTCAGATATCAGCAGCGAGTCGAAAGCAGCGGCAGCAACAATAACAGAAAAGGCGGCGAGAACACAGACACTGCCGCCGAGGACGACCACCGACCACCACCAGCACCACCAGCAGCGGCACCGCCAGCACCAGCACCAGCTCCACCACCACCACAACCATCACCACTTCCTACCACCTCCGACACCAGCCACCGAGATCACAGCAGCAACAACCACCACGAATCATTTCCCCTTGGGGTAGAACCTGAAGCGGCAACCAAAGCACCCCAACCGACAGTCGGACTCAGACTGGTATTCTGGGGGTCGGAGTAATTCCCTAATGTAGCCATGGCATACCAGTCCGCCAAAAAGACTCATTCGTACTTATTCATACCACCATAGTAATGCAAGGGCCTCATAAGTAATTATTAAAGCCCCTATACTATCGTATTCAGGCTTACAGTGAATCTCCAGGGGTTTCCAGCGTCCGAGCATTCTCGAGCAGTTGACAGAAAACAGGGAACCCCAATATTGACGCTCAATACGCCTGCAAGGACCGACCTCTAACACTCACCCGAAACCCCACACCCTAAACCCTAAACTTAATCTCAAATTCAAAAGATTTGGGACACTTCCTGTGATTTTTCGCTGACAGGCAGCTCGTCACCTCGCTTCCGAGCTGTCTCCAAGACCCGCTGCTGGTGCTCCTCGGGTGGGGCTTCAGGGCATACGTTAGGGTTTAGGGTTCAGGGTTT